CTCATAAAAACTATGGCAGAACACAAGCAATTGTCATGACCAGGTCCAACAAAACTAAGTAGTGGAAGGGAAGCCCAGACCTTTAGCCTCTTCTACTCTTTGGAAAAGCTCAGGACCAGAACTGAATGTAGAGCTTGAGCTGAACTAAAAAAACTGTCAGCCTTGTGGATGTTGTTCAAGTTTGGTTTCAGATTTTATTGCTTGGCTCCTTCTCCAGCATTGAGCAAGCTGAACAGTGAGGTCATTCTGTAGGGAAGGTTAGCTGTCCACAGACATAGACCCACTGTTAGTCACTAGAACTGGGTGTGAACTTGTTTCCCTGTCCCAAGAAACGTCCTGTGATTTCAACATTTTCTCTGTACCTCCTCAGGACTAAGCCAAGACCTTGTGAAGGTTTTTATGAAATACAGTCAGCCCATCCCAGGTTAGTCAGGGACTGAGGGAGACACAAATTTAAGTCCTTCAGAACAGGCAATTATACCTGATTCTCTAACATCCTACTGAGGTCCCTTCCGACCCTAACATCCATGAATCTTAGGGAAATGCCCATATCCCAAGGATAGTTGTTTTTCTCGCAGGCTACTCTGATGGAGCTCTTCCACTTTGTGTAAATAATATTTGCTAAGCCAGGGGTTTTCAACCGGGGGTATGCGTACCCCTGGGGGTACTTTAGAAGGCCCCAGGGGGTAGGTGGCAGCAGCACCGGGAAGCTGCCACGTGCTGCACAAAAGGACCCTCCCCCTGCTCGTCAACCGACTGCCAGGGTACTCCCTGCTTCTCGACCAGCCACCGGGGCTACCCTGACCAAAAAAGGTTGAACATCCCTGTGCTAAGCCAGAGAGAGAGACCCCTCCTAAAAGGTGGAAAGTTCAGGTTCAATTCCATGCTCTGAATAAAGCAGAACAGAAACTTGGGTGTGAGCCCTTTCCAGGTGAATGCCCCACCTGTCACTCGTCTGGGGTCTTGCTGTCTGTTTTGTTCGTTCCAGAAATTCCTAGTCCTGCACAACCCTCTTTGCAGGAATTTAATTGAAACTCATCCCATTTCCATGAGAAGTTCAGGGTTTGATGAACTGGTACCTTCTGGTCAATAGAACAAAAGGAAAACAAATCCTGAGGTCAGAAACAGTCCAGTTCAATTTATGGGGCTCTGGGTTGTCCCCCTGCACATACCATTTTCATGACCCTCCACTTAGTATGAAATAGCTGTCTTGGAAAAATAAATGCCTTCCCTAGATGTGAGTTTCCATGTTTATCATATTTTATCTTCTCCAGATGCTGCTGCTGCATTTTATTGTTAAAGACGCAACCTTTCAAACAAACAGAGATAGCATGAAGCTTCCTGGTTCTAAAGAAATCTGGTTAAATGCAGTAATTATTTACCAAGATCTCCCCCACCCCCAGCCAGAAAAATATTTATTCTGTGGGTTGGGTGCAGTTATCTGACCCTACTTTTATTCTGCCCTGCCCCCCCCAAAATGATTTCTTTTCCTGGGTCTTTTAGGTAACCCCACAGGTTTGGGATTTGGCTGAATAACAAGCAAAGAAGCGTCTTCAAAGGATCAAACGGATTCGGAGCAATTTGGCTCACATCAAAGGCTTGGCAGCCTCTCAAGTGGTGTTGAGAATGCCAGTCAGTGTGTGTAAGGGGGGGGGGGGGGGGCACTGGGCTGACATACTGTAACATGAGGCAGGAGGCAAGGGTGGGTATGCTGCTTTTTGTGCATCAAGCTGAGTAGGATTAAGATATAATTGACAGAGCATCGCGACTTAAACACCTTGCCCACTTCTAAGACGTTCCGCAGATTAACAGCGGGCAGCAGTTCCACATAGCTGACTGGAGTTTGCTTTCCTTTTTTTCCATACTTACTCTATACCCTGTACACTCTATCCTCGCCTCATCCTTTTTTGCTTGTGCAAAAGAAGATTGTGGTTGTTTGGCAGAAAACATTGCGAGGTTTTCTTTCCCGAGCGATGTAAACTTAAAGAAACAATACTGTAAGTGATGATAATGATGGTGATGGCGTTATTGTATTGTTACGCAAAAAGTACCTGTTTGCCATTTGTAAGCGATGACTGAGAGTGAACGGGAAAAGTGATACATACATGCATATATACACATGTACATATATACATATACATAGGAATGTATTTTTGCATGCAGGCATGCATATATGATATGCATGCATATATAGGATATATAGTCATATATCTCATGCATACATATGTGTGAGCATGCATATGTGCCTGTATGTGTACGTGGATTTTTCTCATGCACCGTAGTCCCAAAGTCCCATTTGTAAGACAGTGCAATGGATACTTGCTACTGCACATTGGAAGGTCTGTGCCAGTGGGTGGGTGTATGGGCTGGCGCTCATTACTCAAGCAGAGGCAGACCTGGTCCTATATGTTTTTTACTGAGGGAGAATTGGTTTTAAGAGCCTGAGGCAACTCCATTTCACCCTGCTTCCAGAGGGCTTGGGTGTGAGCAGGCCTGAGCCCTTCTGAAAGAAAGCCTTCAGCGTTCTCAGTGACAGGGAGGGAGGGGGAAAAAGCTTGAGTGAGTTGCTGAAGTAACAACCCCACACACTACTGCCTTGAAAGTTTTCTTTTCCCTCCTAAGTGACAGCTGCGCATATCTCTGGGGAAACTCTGCTGAAGTAACTACAGACAGAGCAGAAAAATTTGTCAGGGACGAGGGGGGACGCCCTGCATGGCATCTCAGGCTTCCTCCCCGCGTGCTGTTTAAGAGACAGCAGCAAATGAGAGCACTGCACGTGCGGGCATAAAGTTGCTGATGCTAAAGAGGCCAGGCCGTTTTCCAGTGTGGCAGGCACTGGGGTCAAGGAAGAGTTGGGGTTAAGTATATGTTCTTCAATAAAAGCTCCACTAGACTGTATGAGTACTACCGTGTTTGTGAGAGAGCTCAAAGACCAGATCTATTATTTTTAAGGATTTCTAGGTATGTAGAAATGAACACGAAATTATTTTCTCCCATTCTGCAGCTGAGTTTATATCCAAGATTAAGCCCCTCTTTTAGTCTCCAGATTCTTTTCCTGCAGGCTTTAGGCTGTTTCCATCTGGTATTTAGTCTCTCCCCTTCTCTGAACGTAAGGTCCTGTGGGTTTTTTTGATCTCTATGTAAGTTTTTGCTTATATTGGTGGGCTTGGTGCAAGGTGACTAAGGGCCAGTCTCCAAGGCTAAGTGCAGACAGTCAAAAAGCCTCAGGCTGAATTGATTCAGTCTTTGCAGGTTAGTCTAAGCTGCAAAGATTGAACCAATAAGCACATGAACAGACAGTCACTTTTGATTCAGGAAATGCAGCCACATGCCTGCAGTGGCTCAAGCCAGAACCAGGAGGGTGCTAGAGCATGGCTTTCTGACATGTAGACAGCATGGGCTGTGAGTTCACTTCCTCTTCTTGCTGCCCCCAAGGTCTCTTGAGATTTGCAGTCCAGATCCACAACACCAGGACTCTGCAGTGTTGCTCACCACTACCTCTTCTGCTTCCAGGTGCCTCTGGGATTTGTAGTCCACAGTTGCAGCCAGCACTGAGTAAGCAGGGTAGGGCAGCTCTGTACTTGGAGGAAGGGAAGTTGAACCTCCCTCCCTGGCCCCAGACCCTAGCAGGGGCTTGCCTGGGGGAGGAGGGCAGTGAGCCAGCCCTCACTGCTCCAGCTAGGGAGCAGAGGGGTGGGGCCATCGCTGCTCTCTGGAACAGACAGCACAGCCCAGGGCTGCAGGGCATGCTGGGGGACTCTGATTTAACTTGAACCAAGAAGAGGTCTGGGACAGAAGTTTCATAAACCAGTTTGACCCAGATCAAAGAAGTCTGATACTGTATTCAACCAGGTTTATCTTAAACCAGTTTCATCCACTTTGAAACTGGTTTATGTGCACTGAACTTATATTCTGTTACAGGTTCAAACCAGTTTCTGATTACTTAAACTGGTTTATGTGTAACTTCTGTCCCTAGCCCAACTGTGCAGCCTTGACCCATGTAATGTCCTACTTTAAATCAGACAGTGTATGTAGGTGCTGAAGTAAGGATCCCTCACTTCGGCCACGTGCATTAGCTCATTTTGACCTGAGCGACTCATGGGCCGAACTCCGGTCCAACTGATGAGATGCCACGTCGCGCGACAATGGTTCTAATCCTGGTTCTGGCACTGATAAATTATGTGACCGTGGGCACTCCTCTGAACCTCAATTTCCCTGTCTTTAAAAAGGGGATAATAATACTTGTTTTTCTCCAACCTTTTGTCTTTTTTGTCTAGTTAGATTGTCAGCAGTGAAGGGCAGGGGCTGCTCTTGCTTTGTACAGTGGAGCACAATCACAGCTTCTAGGCAGTGGGATAATAGACTATAATTATGATGGAAGGAGAATGGGACTAGATGGATCATTGGTTTAGCCCAGCACGTTCCTGTGTTCTTAATTTATATTTTCAAATAGCATCTGTACTCAACATTGCCTTCTTGCCCAAAGCTTTTCTTTCAACATCTTTGAGGGTTTGTTTGACCCCAATAAGCCTGTTTGCTTTCCTGGCCCTTTCTGGAAGCTGCAAGGTAAAATTGTTGCCAGAATTCCACTCCTTGCGTTCTGTATGACTGATCACATAAGTCTCTCCCACCTCCTGGGTTTAATTAGCTGTAGTTTTGATTTATACCATTATTTGCATGGAGGGTAGAATGGATCAGCTCTTCCAAGGGAACAGCAACCTGTAAACATAAACAAAGGGGCTTTTGTCAGCTATTAATGGAAACATTGATTAATCTCCCATCATGTTAGTAGCCTGCCGAAAAGCTCATAAAGCAGCAAATAAAATTGTTCATTAAACTGCTCGGCTGCTGGAGCCAGGATATTGAATGCAAAATGCACATTAAGTGCATTTCAGCAGTGTGGTGCCTCCCAAAGCCAGTACAATTCCCTTCCATCCTCTGGTTCAAACAGTCCTGTGTAGGGGACATTTTTAACATCCTTCCCTTTCATTTTTCTGCAGATGATGCCAGCTCAGGAAAGGACAGCCAGGTACCTGAAGGCTCCAATGGAGAATATGAAGACCATTCTGGAAAGCAGTGGGGTAAGGAAGAGAGGTTTTTTTTTTCTTTATATTTCCTCCATATCCCCATCAGTGCTAGCCATCATAATCAGAACCAAAGAAGTGCACTGAATGGATGGAAAAGGCCAGGTAAAAAATTCTGTGCAAAGACTGATTTGTCAATAGCAATGGTCAAATATCAAATACTCTCCCCTGAATGGTTATTTGACCCCAGCAGTCTTTCCTGCCCAGAGCAGGGGGGCTGGACCCGATGATCTCACGAGGTTCCTTCCAGCCCTAAACGTCTGTGAATCGGTGTGTGAATCTGTGAATGCATCAGTCTGAACTGATCTACTCTGATTTCAGTGTTGCTCTGTCCCATGAAATGTGGCTTGTGACCCACAATGGATCTTTGGCTCTCTCTCAAGACAATTTTGTCCAGAATTCATTCCCTGGGCTGTGGTTTTCCCTTACACATGCAGCCCTTTGCTGACCTCAGAGGGGTTCTCCATGACAATTGTATTGAGTTTACTCTGGGGTTTCAAAAAGGCACCCTGGGCCAGCGTGTATTTGCTCCCCCTGAAATCGAGTGGGAACTTTGATTTCATGAAGGGCAGAGTTGAACCAATGCTAAGCATTTCTGAAAATCCCATTTTTCACTATTTTTAAGGCAAATTCAAGAACTTCTCAATGTTGAAGGGTGTTAGAACTTAGGGTTTGGGTTGATGCTATTCTAGAGCTACAGCAGCTATTATAATTCAAACCAGAGCAGAATTGCTGCAAGATGTATAAGTGAAGGTTTGGATTAAGCTCTCCTCTAAAAGAAAATAAGCAAAACAACTGTTGGCCACCACAGACACGGGCGAGATGTGAACCGGCACTTCAGAGGTGTCAATAGCTCAACGTTGCTTTTGCAGCACAGTTTCATTCCATCCCTTTTTCATATTTTGTTTGTTGATGATGTGTGACACATGGGTGACCATCTACCAGCGTCATGGGTGTCATCATGCCATGCAGCGCAGCTAGGTAGTATCTTCATGGCATAGTAAGGATGGAAAGCGTTTAGCTTCAAAGGGGCAAGCCTATACCAGTTGAGCTAAGAAGAGTCTCCTCCAGGAGCTGGCAGTAGAGAGTCAATGACAATATTGTCTTACAGTTCAGCTCCTAGGCAGAAAAGGGCAGTATTACACTGAGAAGACAGAACTTGGAGCGGTCAAAGAGATTGTGCTTGTTTTCTCCTGAAGGGTTCATGTTCGATGAAGGGGAGGTGTCATTTTGAGACGAGACAAGTTTGACAAGGGGAGACAGAGACAGGAGGAATAACTGGGTCATTCCTCACATTAGGAAAGGAAACCAGTGCAAATCTCTATTCTTGCCTTATTTCTCTAAGGAATACAAGAGGAAAAATAGCATTCCATGGCTGGTGTGCCCCCTGGAGGTAGTTTTGGCTGATCTTAATAAATTAGGCATCTGCATATGTAGCATTAACTCTCTCCATTTCACGGCATGACACTTGGGACTAATCCATTCGCTTGTGAGATATTCCTCAGGGAAAAGAATCTGTTCAACTAAGACTCTCTGTGCGACATCCCATTGTGAATTATTTCATTTTAATTAGGCTGATGAAGTCTTCCAGTAAACAAAATTTCAGCAAGAAACCTGCACACACTGTCCTGTTGTCTCATCTCACGCTTTCCCTCAGCCTTTCTGATGGCAGCATTTAAAACTGTACCAATGTGCAGTCCGTGTGTACAAAGCACACTCTGAGCGGTGTAGCTGGACTGTTGTGCAAGGTATAAATAACACAGAGGTGCTTTGTAATGGGGAGCTTGGGCAGTTCAGCAAGCAAAAGTCTTGTCCTGATTTGGGGACGGATATTTAGTAAATGCAAACTCATGGCCCTTTATGCCTCTCTCTCCTGCTCTCTCACTCTTGTCTCTCTGTTTCTTCCCTCTCTGTATCTCTCCTTCTTTCTCCTTTTGTTAACTGGCCTCTCTGAACTTATCCAATTCAGGCTTTTGTCAAGGAAACATTTCAGGCCTGTGTAAATGGGATCTGGTTTCAGTATACTGCACACAGGATGGAGCAGCTTTGGAGGCCACAGTAATCACTTAACCTTCAGAAGAAAAAAAAAAAGCAGCCTGCAAAGTATTGCTTTACCTGCAGTGTCTGGGAGAGGGATTGTAAAGCAGGTGAACATAAGATTTCAAACAAAGATTCTCAGAGCCCAGAATGAGAGTTAAAAGCAGAGCTGCTGTTAACTGGTGTAGTGAGGAAAGATGCCGTTTCTGTTTCACAATATTGTACCTGCCCAGCGAGGGGAAAAAATAATGGAAATATTTGCCTGGAACCAGAGAGCAGGTATGAGCAGTGACACGGGATTATTAACTCATCAGTCAATATGATAAATTATTAGTAGATATGCCTCTTCTTGACCTGCTCTGTGATATGTTGACCCTGGTGCTGGAATCCCATCCCGTGGATATGTAACCTTACATGGGCCTGCCCTGCATGCGCTCTGACTAATTTATTGCCTTATTAGAAGATAACAATTTAGACGTATTTCACGGCTGGCTGTTAACCTCTTCCTTGCCCCACAGACAGGCATTCCACGTCCATAAAGGCAGCACCCTGCGGCTCCATTAACATGTGGGTCCCAGGGCTGGTGCTTAAACCTCATGCGCTCGAGTGCTCGCAGTGTACGGTGCCATAGGGGTTAATTATCTCTCCGGGAGCGCGATTGTTTGCACTGGAAAGGAAGCCTCCTGTTTCAGAAGATGATCAAGGGAATACCCAGTGATTTACACACCAAAACCTATGGCATGGGCTAGTATGTCACACTTGCTGGCTCAGCTGTCGCTGCTAGTACATTCGTGCCGGAGCTGCTCCACTTCATTAGATTACACATGAAAGGCAGTGCATGGAGAGCAAAGCATTTCTGCACAAGAGTTTGAAATAACATGACATGGCTGAGACCCAAAAGGACAGCCAAGGGGCGGGGGGTGGCAATGGAGGCAGGTGGCTGTGCACACAAGGACCCTGAAGATGCACTATTGGATGTTTCCTATCAAGAGGATGTGGCTCAGTCTAAGGCCAGTGTGTGGGGGACTTACCCAGACCTCTGAGGGGACTGACTTCTTTCTCCCAAATGTATGAGGAGAGGCTTGTGGACTGACAGTCTTGCTCACAGGGAGCAGCATACCAGCCTCTTCCATCCCTGAGTGCTGACAAGAGCCAGAAACCAGTCTTTGGTCTTTTCTGAGCATAAGGACTGCTCTCAGCTAATGTCCTCTGGGCATCTTGTGGATGTGGCTCCCCACCACTACATCAGCATGATGCACCATCCTATGACGAATAGTGAGACTCACCCAATTCACCTGGGGAGCTCTGAGAGAGAGACTCCCACCATTCCCCTGGTGATGTTAGTGCTGCTCTACACCAGTGCAGGCGAGGACTTGATAGCAACGATCGACCCAATGGCTAGGGACAGAAGTTACTCATAAACTGGTTAGAATAATCAGAAACTGGTTTAAACCTGTAACAGAATAAAAGTTCAGTGCACATAAACCAGTTTAAAAATGGCCAAAAATGCTTTAAAATAAACCTGGTTCAATATAGTGCCAGACTTAACTGATTTGGGTTTATGGAACTTCTGTCCCAGATCCCTTCATGATTTAAGTTAAATCAAAGTCCCCCAGCATCCCAGCATGCTCTGCAGCCCTGGGCTGTGTGCTCTGCTCCAGCAGAGCAGGGCTGGCTCTGCCCCCAGTTGCCAGCAGGGACTTTTCCATCCCCAGCAGCCATGAGCAGGGTGGATTTCCCCACCTCACCTCGTTCTCAGCTGGGGAATCAACCCAGCTCCTAGCTGGGGCAGGAGACTAATGCCCACATTGCCAGCTCCCCCCTCCTCTGGGCACGGGGTGGGCATTTTTCCTCCCTGCCACCCACCTCAGCTGGCAGCAGGGCCCAGCTCCTGGGCAGGGATAAGGCCACGGGCTGCAGCTCTGCCCAGGAGGCACAGGGCAGCCAATGCTCTGACCCCCTGAGCCAACTTCAGTGAAGCAGCGGTGCTAGGGGCCGTGCTCATTCGGTGGCTTCTGGGACAGCAGCAGGGGTCTGGAGTGGGGGTGGGAGAGGGAGGAGGAGGAGACTGCTGGTTTTCCTTCCCATTCCTTTCTCAGCTGGCCTGCCAGCTGGGCAGCAAATATCACTGGCTGATTGGCTTAGCTGCAGGGAAACCCGCAGTCCCACCTGAGCTGGGAGCCAGGGTGATTACCTGGTTGCACCCCATTCCTGGCCCCTGGGCCAGCTGAGAAGGGAGCAGGGGGAGAAACAGACCCCTATTATGGGCCCCTGTGATGGGCACAGCTTGGCTGAGGGTCCAAAGCCAGTGTGAAGGGGAGCTGGTTCCCTCCACACTCCCTCCTTAGCCAGTCTGCAAGGTGAACAGGGGCATGACCGGGTGATCGGACTGGCTCCTGGCTCAGGTGGGAGAGTAAAGCCCCCACTGTGGACTTCTCTGCAGCTGGGAGCTGGGCCAACCATCTGGCCATGCTCCCTGCTTCGCCGGCAGGGTGGCTTCAGAGGGAGTTGGGGGGCAAATGCCCCCCCACCCCAGCCCAGCTTTGGACCCCTGACTGGGCTGTGCCCATCACAGCGGGTGGAAAGCCCTCAGTGTGGGCCATTTCCCCACACACACGCACACTCCCTCCTCAGCTGGTCTGTCAGCCAAGCAGGGGTCATGGCTAGGTGATCCAGGCAGCTCCCAGCTCAGGCACGGGAGTAAAGCCCCCAGCTGGAAGATGGGTCGATCACCCGGTCATGCCCCCTGCTTGACTGGCAGGTCAGCTGAGGGGGGAGGGGGGAATGGCCCTTACTGTGGGCTCCCTCACCCCTGTACCTGGCACAGGGTTGGGGACCAGAGTTGGATGGGGGGCCATTCCCCCCCACTCCCTCCTCAGCTGGCCTGCTGGCCAAGGAGGGGGCATGGCCAGGTGATCAGCCCACCTCCTGGCTCTGGGTTGGAGGGTGAGGGGGGAGAAGAACCACCCCATTAGGGGTTCCCCCCTCCCCCCGTCCCCAACATCGGGGAGACCCCAGCTGGGGGTCCAGGTGGAGGGGAGGGTTCACTGAGACTGAGGAGGGGGCATGGCTAGGGGGACTGGCTCCGGGCATGGGGAGAGAGGTGAAGAGGCGCTTTGCTGGAGGCTTCCTCCCTCCCCACTTTCCCCTTTGCAAGGGAGACCCTGGCTGGGGTCCAGGGGACAGGGTGGGTTTCCCCCCAGGCCCGCTTCTCAGGCTCCCTGGACTGAGGAGGGGGCATGGCTAGGGGGACCGGCTCTGGGCACAGGGAGAGAGGGAGAAACACCTCACTGGGGCCTTCCCTCCTCCCCCTCCCCCAGCGCTAGGGAGACCCCAGCTGGAGGTCTGGTGGGGGGGTCCCTCCTCAGCAGACTGGAGGCTAAAGAGGGGGCTTGGTTGGGGAAATCACCCAACTCCCCCACTGGCTGTGAAGTGAGGTCTAGTGCCTCCTGGTGCTGGTATGGGCCACTGCAGGGCTCTGGCTCCCGTTCACTTTTGAAATGCAAACCTGAGTTCACTTTCTTATCGGTTCAAGGTGCTTCACCTTGGTGGCCATAGCAGCGCGGTGCTCCCTCCTGTGCCAGATCCTGCCTGCTGGGCCTTGGAGGCGGCTTTTGCCTTGAGCTGGTCCAGCTGCAGCCCTGCATCCTGCTGTGGGCACAGAAATCTGGGGAGGCCTGTGACCTCCCAGCTCCCCATTGCCTGTACACCCCCTCTTCCCCACACACCCACCCCTTTCCTCACACGCTGTGGGACTGGGAGCAGGGGGCAGTAGGTCAAAAGTGAGGGGCACCAACAGGGCTGGGGTGGCTGTGGGCTGGGAGTGAGGGGCACCAACAGGGCAGGGGGGTGGTGGTTTGGACATGGACAGGGGGCAAGGCACTGGCGTATCGGGGCTGCTGAGTGCCACAAAGCAGCAGGGGGAGGGAGGGAAGCTGCAGCTGGACCTGCATCCTGATGAGTGAAAGGGGCAGAGGGAGCTCTAATTTTCCATGATTAAAAAAACCAAAATCAACTGCCAAAATGTATACGTGTTTAGAATTTATTTTATTATAATGACCGAGGCACTGGTAAGGCTTCCAAATTGCTTTAAATATATCAATAAAACATTGTGTTCAACTGATATAGTGATATTTCATTTTAAATGTGGAAAAATGTGGATTTTGAGTTTTTAAATCAGAGAATTTGGGATTTTTCAATAGAGAAAACCAGGATCTCTGCTGATTATCTTGACATGCAATTTGTTTGCTGCTGCTGGGGCTGAGAGGAAGAGCTCCTAATTGAGATTTTTATTTAGGCTGGTGAGGAAGGGTGGGTCACTGGAAAGACACTGGAAGGAAAGGACTTGGAATTTAAAGGAAGAAAAGATCAGAGGGGATATTGCCAGTGAAGAAGGTAGCACACAAGAAAGCACAGAGGCACTTGGCTCTGGGCCTAAGCAGAAAAATGGTGGGAGTTAGGAAGCAAGGAGGAAATAGGGATGATGCTGCGTAGAGCCAACAGGTGCGGGAAAGAAGTTAGAACGTGAAGAGGGAACCATGGTCCAAGGGTAGTGAGAGGAAGGTGATTTTCAGGAATATTTTTGGTATAGAAGGAATCTAGGTAGGACTTGGGTCAAAGAAAATAAATTAATAGTAATTGGAGGAACTGGGGTTAGCAATGTCCCTGGTTATTGTAGAGCACAGTTTGAGCGCTTGTGGGAATTTATGCTTTCTTCTAAATTACTCTACGCTGCTGTGAGTTATGATTCTGGCCTTGAATCCAGCATGTGAAGACATTTCTACATTCTTAGGACTATTGTATTTTTCATCATATTGATTGGTTAGACCTTCTAATGGTTATACAGGAAGGATACACAGCAAAAGTAATAAAGCCACTTGAATAAGACTATGTCACCTCTTTTCCCCTGAAGAGGGACAGAGAAAGTCATTAAACAATAATTGAAAAATTTATGGGAGTTTAACGGTTAATTTCCTGTGGGTCTTTAGAAGATTGTATCCCGTTACTTATGAATCGAAGATTCGGTTCCATGTGAACTTCCACTTGAGAATTTGTTCTTTTGGGTGCAGTAGTGAAAATATTTGCAGTTCTCTATCTCTAGTAAGGTCAGGTTGGAACATAACCCACAATTCTTTGTCAAGGGTACTGGTCGCTTGAAGAGTACTGCATCTGCTCATCTGCTACTTGGGTTACGTTGGGTTGTAGCTCTTACTAATCACAAAAGTCTGTGCCTTGTTTTGTTCTTACAAGTGGGTTTTTTTTTTGCTGTGTATACTTCAGAAAGCAATGTTGGGTGAATCTTGGAAGGTTCAGATCAGCGTGGAAAAGCCTGAATGTCCAGTCAGATAGTCCAAACCTATGGACTTGGCAGAATTGGTATAGTGATCTGGTGAGAACTAGGTTAGTTTCCCAATTTCCCTGACTGTATGGTATGGTTGGCCATGTTTGGAGAGATGCTGAGCCCTCTCTTCTCTCATTAAAGCTGGTACACGCTTGAGGTGTTTAGCTCTTCACAGAGAAATCATGAGAACAACCAGCCTTGGGGGACTTTCACTTGTCTGCTTCTGATTACAGCTAAAACCAGGGAATATAAAGCACCAATGCCCAAAACATGATAGTAACTCTAATGTAAACTGTAGGGACCTATACACGTGATGAAGCTCTGCTCTGACATGTGCTAATTAGCATGCATCGGAGCAGACTTGATTAATCGAGTCTGCTGGCCCATGCTAATTAGCATGCTCCAGCAGCCTCCGTGTCGTGTATTCAGCATCCCCGTGTTTCAGAACGGTGGCAGGGGCACTTTAACTAAAGCTCATTGAATGAACTTTATTGAAAACACTCCCACCACCATTTTGAAGCGTGGGATGCTGAATACACGTAACGTTGCAGGCAGTTTAATTAGAGCAGCTCACAGAGTTGCTCTAATTAAAGTGCCCCCCCCTGAGCACATGTATAGACGCCGTCTGTGTCTAAATTATGTCTTCATTTATGGCACCGAGACATTGACCTATATCAGTTAGGTAGGTGTTTGGCCCAGTACTTACGGCAGTTGATTCAAGCAATGCTTATACAATTAATATTATAGGTTATCTCAGCTTCAAAATTTATGAGCCAACATAGGACCTACTTTACTAAAGGAAGCTGTCTTTGCCAGTGTATGCACTAGTGATACATGGGTACTCCTGGCGTATTTGGAGCTAGATGCCTCAGAAATGAAGAGGACAGAACCAGCTGGCAGCAGAATCACCCCCTGACTGTATTATCCATCATGGACCTTGCCTATTATAGTCGGTGTTTAATGTCTTTTGCAGCCCGGCCCAGGTTCACACAACCTGCCAAGATGAGGCGGAGAGTGATTGCACGTCCTGTTGGGAGCTCCGTCCGCCTGAAATGTGTTGCCAGCGGGAACCCTCGACCTGACATTACCTGGCTGAAGGACAATAAACCCCTCACCCCACAGGAGATTGGGGAGAACAAGAAAAAGAAATGGACACTAAATTTGAAGAACTTGAAGCCAGAGGACAGTGGAAAATACACATGCCGAGTGTTCAACAGAGTTGGGGAAATTAATGCAACGTACAAAGTTGAAGTAATCCGTAAGTACTGCCCTCTGGGACATAGCACCAAAATCGGTGTGCACTGCCAGTAACTAAATGCACAGAGGAAACTAGATGGGGAGGTGTTGCATGCATCACTGAAGACAGAGAAGCCATTCTTCACAATCAATGATAGCATGGGCAGGACATAATCATATCCTGGATAAATACAGGTTACTGTGTCTGGGGAGAAAGGCTCCCAGAGTGGGCGGGAGATGCATGGGAATCAGTGCTGTCCCTATGATCAGAGATCACAATGTGATATGCCTTCAGAGAAAAGCCCAGACAGCTGACATAGTCACTTCAAGGGCCAGAGAAATCTGCTTCTAGATCCACTAATGACTTTGTTGGAGTCAGGTAAGACCTTTCATATGTCTGAGGAGAGTTAGAGAAGTAGTTTAAGTGTATACAGCTGCCACAGGGTTAAATTGAATGGCATTAATCAATGGAAAACTTAGACTGGATGTCAGGCAGAAGATGCCTCTTCCTACAGAGCAGTCATCCAAGAGAATTTATAGAAGCCCTGTCACTGGAGTCATTACCCAGACAAAGCACTGACAACCAGATTTCTAAAAGTATTTAAATGCTAGAAGGTGCAGACTGACACAGAGGGGGATAACCAAAAACCCAGTAAGTTTCTGCTGCATCTTCAGTTATGTGAACATCTTTGAAAATCTGGCTTTTGAAACAGCAGGTGATTATCTTGCTCCTATCTAACCTTTCTGATTTTGTGGCGTTAATCCCCTGTCTTCCACATTATTATCTGACATAATTATAGAGAAAAAGCAACCCAGTCTAGGCAAGGAAGAGCTCCTATTCCAAATCATGTTTTGTTTATGACATCATAAGATGTTACCATGGAAATAATGATGAAACTGCAAGTTCAAGAAAAAGGAGAAGATAGGCAGGGGGAAAGATCAAATATCTTGGATTGCTTGGGAATGGGGTATGGAAGTCTACAAAGTGACAGATGGAAAGTGTGTTGTTTATCTGTCCATGCATGTGTTTAAGCATGTGCATATGAGAAAATATATCCCGGTGTGAAAGTGCCTCCTTCGAGGTAAAGATCTGTACTCTGGTAACTCCCTTTCTCCATCATAACAGGAATTAAAAGCACATGCAGGGAGTTCTGTTGTGCTCCAAATGCACAAACCTGCTGGACATCTGGTATTGATAAAGATGCAGCTGTGTGGAGACAGTAAAAACATGTGTTTACACTAAAACCAGGAGCAGAGACAGGGAAATGAATCAAGCCCCATCCTAATGTCAGATGTGGCATTTTCACTTCATCAAAACCAGACAGCACAGGCGGGGAAAAGCCCCTTTTCTTTGTTGGAGAGTGGTCCCTGTTTATCTTGGTTTTTATCAACCTGAAGATGGATGTAACCTTTGTTTTCATTAGCCTTTTCTGGCAAGGAGAGAAAGCAGTAACTGAAGCAGGAACCAGAACCAAGTAGATAAGAGTATTAAATGGTTTTCACAGACTTTTTCCTATTTTAACAACATGCTGCAGCACAATTCAGGTTTTATTCAACTTCCTCGACTATTTTTTTTTCTGAGCCTATACTCTGGTCTGGGCTGAGTCCTCTCCAGCTGTGCCCATGGTACAGCTGTTGCTCATGTTCTCTGATACATCTCAAGGATATTGTTGATAGCACCTATTGCATCCTACTGTGACCCAGAGGAGAATAAAGCGTTGTTCCTTCCTTCTGTGTCAGAGCTTGTGCAGCACTGCTGGGAACTGGCTCTTTTCACATCCAGTCCAACAGTGGATGCTGTTAGAAAGCCAGCGGGCGCATATACAAGAGACGCTAACTGCTCAGTAGCCGAATAATACTGCAGTAGCACATCACAGCACCAACAGTGTTAATACACTACTGCACAGTATTCTTAGGCTACTGCACAGTAGACTTAAAAGTCATTCACCACTGCTGCTTATGAATTGGTTACTATGCATTGATTTAGTATTTGGTTATACAAGTACTAAATAAATGCTCAGTAACCACTGCGCAGTAGCGTCTTGTGTAGTCATGCCCTCTATCTATTAAGAATGACTATGTGAACAGGCATTTCCCTCTGCCCGGGAGAGGGAAAACTCTGGCATGTCAGACATGACTGTCTAAAAACTGATTGTAAATATGGACTGTTT